GGTGGCGCGTGCCTGTAATCCCAGCTACTCAGGAGGCTGAGGCAGGAGAATTGCCTGAACCCAGGAGGCTGAGGCTGCGGTGAGCCGAGATTGCGCCATTGCACTCCAGCCTGGGTAACAAGATCGAAACTCTATCTCAAAAAAAAAAAAAAAAAAAGACTGAAATCAGAGAAATATGCACACATAAAAATTTAATCCTGGCAGATCTCTACACATTCTCTCAGGGAGTACAAACAAGGTTTTTTCTTTTTTACTTGAGCATTAGAACATATAGGTCCCTCTTTCCTTCCTTTCTTCCTTCCTCCCTCCCTCCCTCTCTCCCTCCCTCCCTTCCCTACTTTCTTCTCTCAGCCCTTTCTCCCCTCCTCTCCTTCCCCCTCCTTGCCCTTCCTTTGCCCTCCCCTCCTCCCAACCAGCCCCTCTCCTTCCCTTGTCTTCCTTTCATTCTCTCTGTTTTTTCTCTTTTGACAGGTCTCACTCTGTGGCCCAGGCTGGAGTGCAGTAGCGTAATCATAGCTCACCTTAACCTCAAACTCCTGGGCTCAAGGGATTTTCCCACCTCAGCCTCCCCAGTAGCTGGGCTACAGGCACACCATCATACCTGGCTATTTTCTTTTTGTAGAGAATAGGGTCTTGCTATGCTGCCTAGACTGGTCTTGAACTCCTGGGCTCAAGTGATTCTCCCATCTCAGCCTCCCAAAATGTTGGGATTACAGTCATGAGCCACTGTGTCCAGCCTGATGTTTCTTGAGTGGTTTGCTTGGGATTAGGGGCCATGTTGTTGAACAACAATAAAATATCCACATGTATATATGTGTATGCATGCATATATGTCGTGTACATATATATATACACTGTAAGTACATATATATGTACATATATATATATTGTAAGTACATATGTACTTACAGTTTTAAATACTAGAATCTCAGAGTGAGGAAATAAATTCAGGCTATGCAAAATGCACTGAACTAAAACAGCCTGAGAGAACAGTAGATCTGTGTTTTGTCATCTCCAGCTCACTCTGGGGAACCTCTTCACCAGGTGGAATGGCAGATACAGGCTCTTCCTCTCTCTGGCTTCCCTCATGCTCCCTCATTCTTGTCCTGTTACATCTAGCAGAATCTGCATACATTAAATGCTTTCACAATGCGATTCTACTGTATATCATGGGGAACAGAATACATCTATTAAGACATCGCTTAGAACAAAGGAGTTAGTTCAGATTTGATATTAATGTATCGTGGTAGTTGAGTATGGTGGTCTAGCCATGATTACCAGAGTTTAGCATTCTCCATTTTGATCTTCGTGTTGTCTTTTCTGCAGCGAATTGAAGACCGAAGGTATTTCCCCTTATTTCATGCTGATTAGGTTACGGAAATGAACTGGCTGGATGAAGATCTGATTTAGAAAGACTGCGTAAGTCTTATTTATTCTCTGAAACACAGCACAAACTTCATGTTAAAATGGCACAATGCCATTATTTAAATTGAACTTATTACACACCAATGGCTTTGCAAGAAGATGACATATTAGAAAATCAAACAAATATATAAGTAATGGAAGGACTCTTCAAAACTTACCAAATAGGTGAAGGAACCAGGTGCCTTCCCATGATAGTAGACAGATTCTGCTTTAAATTAAAAAAAAAAAAAATCTAAATCTTGTTTTCAATTTTTCTTTCTAATGGGATTGTTTTAAGATTGTCAACTCTGAGTTTTTGATAGTGGTTTTTAAGTGTATAAATAAAAGGGAGGGTGTTTATATGTATGAATGAGCATACATTTTCTGCATATATATGTATGAAAGGCATATATATGTATAAATGAGCATGCATATTTGAAAGTTGACTTTTGGATGATAAGAAAGATCTCACAGTGACATAAGTTCATCTCCTGATCCATTGTTTGTGGGAGAATTATACTCAACTGAATTATGGGCATGAGAAAGAGTAGATTCCTTTTAGCTAATTCCCCAACCTGTACCCCCCTCTGAAATTGAGAATCATGGCTGCCTCACCACACCTTAGAGAATGACTGTTCTTCAGTAGTTCTGGGATTAAAATTGGTTTCTAGAGGTAACCTATATGCATAAACACATAGGGGTTCACATGGTATCCTCTGCCTTTGTGACAAATTTTCTTCTTGATATTTATTAATAGTATCTAAATAAAATATTGGGGGGAATAGAAAAATAATGGTGTTAGCCCATACTTCCATGAAAATGTATTTATTGTAGGCTCAAGGGAAGAATGGCTGCTGTTTGCAGCCAGGAAGAATCTGAATTCATGAATTGGAGCAGTATATCTAGAGTTTTTGTGAACATGTGCTTAAATTCTGATATATGTCTTCTTTATAGGTGGAGTTTGTGATTGCAGTGGATAAGACCTAACTTGCAGAAATGCAGACATATACTCAGGAAAGAACAAACTTTATTTAAATGTATAATGACAGAACTTGGTCCCCCTAAAGGATGAATTTCTGTTGGGCCTTTGGTCTTCCTTTCTAGTATGTAACTTTAAATATTTGCTCAGGAAAGATGCTTCAAGCCTTTCATTGTGGGATGTGAAATATCAGTGTTGTCTATAAAATATTTGAAGGTGTATAAAAATGAGATGATGTAATATATTTACATATTCATCCAAGTACTGTAATGCTTGATTTGTTGCATAACTGTGTGTGAATTTTATGCTTCTTGGTATCTTTGGAAACATTTTTATTGCTTGCTTATTTTGAAGGTACAAGTTATCCGTTAACATTTATGGTATAGTTACTCTATGCCAAGAAGAAGTCTAAGTCCTTTTTTGTATTAATTCCTTTTATCTTCCCCAAAGCCCTCATAAGCAGATGGTATTATTCCTGTTTTACAGAGGAAGATACTGAGAGTGGTTGAGCAATTTGCCCAGCTGCTAACTGTAAAGCAAATATTTGAACCTTTTGACATGGCTATTGATATTCATTCTGCTTGCTCACACGGTGGTCTGAGAAATTTCCCAGCTATAGAAATCTTTCTCTTTTTGCCACTTTAATAAGTACATAGCTTCCTGGATGACTGCCTGTCTTGTCCTATGGATGACAGTAAGAAACAACACTTACTGATAAAATCAATGTTTTGCTGAAATGAGTTGACTTTCACCAGTTGAACTACCATGTGAGAACGCAGTTCAGACAAACTCCCTGCTAAAAATCTGCTTATCATACATTTATTATTTATGACTTTATGTCACATTGAAGAATTTCCTTGTGATACATTTTCAGGCACACTTGTAGGAAAATCAGGATCACGAATCCTGCTTTAAGAATTTGAAGTATAGTAAGAGAATCCATCTTTTACTAGGAGATCAGATTCCTTTCATGCCTCATTTATCGTGCTGGATTGTAATGAATTGCAGATTTTGGAATAGGCTTATTTAACTGACCTAACAATCTTGATGATTTCTATTAGAATAACTTATATTAAGGCCAAAAGTGGAAAGACATTGTTGGTTTTTATTTTGATTTCACTATACTCATTTTTGAACATGGAAATATAGTTGTGAAACAATGTATGCAAAAATCCTAACAGTGAGAAAATTATGACAGTGAATAGCTCTGACCTAACTAACTATCTTACCTCCACCGGCCCTTGGTCATTCCTGAGTGTGGGCCAACTTAACTTTGGGAGAAATTAACTTTATAGCTTAAATGATAACAACACTTCCCCAAACTAAACTGCCTGTGTAAAACTAATGAAAGGCCACTAGGTTAAGAGGAGAGGGGCCTAAATTCTGCTAAGGTATAGACACATTTAAATGATAACCAGCCATTATTCCGGAGGTCACAAGCTATGCAACTTTCCCTGTTATTCCTGTAAATAACATCACTATTGTAGAAGCTAAGATTGGTCTTTTGAAATATCTTGTCAGGCTTCTGCACTTTTTTTTTTTTTTTTTTTTTT